CAACTCATATCATTGTGGGAAAATTCTACTACCAGTTCTTCATCACCTTAGACGAAATAGGGTGAATACAGCTCAATACACATAAATAAGCAAGAAAAAATTGTGATAGTAAAAGCGTGATATGAGGAAATAGGATAGGCGAATAGCCCATGACAGGAGAGATACCATAACTATTTAGCACACATTTTAAAAGGATCGGCTTCACTTGTCTCTTTCACGAGTTGTAGTGTGGTGCTATGAATGGTAAGACTCACTGACGATGCCAGCGAAACGTCTGGGAATGAACCAGGTCCACGGTCGACTTTGGAAATTATCATGCATACAATGGACTTCGGACTAGGTGCGTTCCTCCAAGTCTTGCTACAAATATCACCAAGTTGCGAAAACAAGGTAAAACAACTTCTATGAAACGAAAGTAGGCTGCGAAAACACAAAAGGCCACACCATCTTGGTCTTCATATTTTCTAAATTAGTCTTACTTTGAAAGTGTATAATTATTCCTGCTCCTGGCAACTAATATTCCTTAAATATTATGATTCATTATAGTTGAATCGTGCTAGCATTTTTATATCATAAAATCTAAAAATTAAAAATTTAGGTATTTCTCTGAAGTGAAAAATATACTTATTATTCTAAGGGCTGGGAATAGCTGCTTGACTTAAAATACCAAGAATATAGTCGAGATCTGCATGCTCGATAGGTATTTATGAGGTATACCAATGTTTACCCTAACTCGAGATAGCTACACTTCACTGTCATTGAAACGGATGACTGGCTGTTAAAATTTAATGATAATTTATTCTTTATCATATAATATATGTTACTATGCACATTCCTCTCATTTTTCTAAGTGGCGTTTTTTTTCGAGAAGCCATTTTTTAGTGTAAAAGCCCTCTTAATCTCTACCAAACGCCTATTCTTGGTGAAGTATTTTTTTACATATTTATTCACTTTGTCTAAATACTTCTTCTCATAGGCATGTAATTGTGCCCCTAGAAGTTATTAAAATCTTCTGCTCAATTGATGCGTCGCTTTTTCATGGTAATTACCACGTTCTCATTCACAAACGAGCACTGGGTAAGAAAATTTTGTTTATTCACTATATTTCTTTCCCTAGTTTATATGAATAATTTAAAAAGCCTTCCATACAACTATATATTAAA